AATAAATAAATAAATAAATATAAAATAAAACAGATAATTAAAATGTTTCTAAATAAAAAAATATTAACTATGAATAACTTAATGCATCACTAAATAACCCCCCCCCCCGCCCGCTACTTCCAATTTTACTGTATTGGGCTTAGATTAGTTACAATTTTAGAGGGGAAAATAGGAGACTGAAATGTATCTAGAGACTTTAAGAAGCTATTGCAGATCCAGGAAAAATATATCATGTTCCTTTTGTGACCCATTCAATTCATACGAGCTATGGCTGGATATCCAGTGTGATGGCACCAATGTGGCTGCACACACCTACCTTGGTCCTTGCCAGGCTCTCTGCCCCATGTGCCTTTTTTACATTTTAAAAATGTAATTCCAAAAGTGGGACACTGACATGTTATAAAGCTAACCCCCAGCCTCTAGCATTGTCTTTATTTCCAATAACACCTCTAGGCTCCAATAAGCTATATACACTTGGAAAACAGAAATGTTGGGTGACTGCACCCTTGTGCTTTATTTGGAAATGTATACCTCCAAAAAAGAAACGTATGTAAGCAGAAATTGTAAGAACCTCTGGGAGAGGGGGCGTGAAGTGATGGCTGGATTGATAAATCACTTTTGTAAACTGATTATGTTACAACTACCTACGGCTGACATTGGGCAAGCCTAATGTTCCAAGCAATTTTAGGAAAATAGCCATAACATATTCTCAAAATTCCAGATATATCCTCCAGCCCCAAAAGGCTGGCCCACTACTTCTTCAATTTCTACTTCAACTTCAGTGTCTTCACTGGCGGCCCTTTCAAGAGAACGTTTTTATTATTCTAATTTGGGGAAGCCACTCTGCAAATATCGTGGTCATCGTAATCTTGAGGGCACTGAATCTGTTGTAAATCCTAAAATTCATTGTGTGGCTTACAGCTGTGCATTTCATATAACCTGCACCTGTTCAACTTAGCCTTTTTTTATAGCTTTAAGAATGGCTTTTATCAAATTATTATTGCTGTTTAAATTATGTTATTTTATCTGCATTTTTAATCAGAATGTTCCTTTTCTTACTGTGGTTGGACCACTTTCATCACCACTTTTCCCTAGTCAGGAACAGGTACTGCCCTATTTCTAAGTATCATCATCAGTATTTTGTCTCAAAATTCCCCATGTGCAGGAAACAGTTGGAGACGCGACCCGCTTCTGCTGAAAAGAAACAGGGCGGGAAGTCATACCTCCTTCGGGACTCAGTAGCCAGAGAGTGACCAACGGCCAGAAAAACTCGTAACAAGATGCCTTCCCTAAACCGTTCGTTTTCACCCTTCTTTTTCATTTTACGTTGAAAAGGGAATCCCCCTTCCGTGCAGGATGAGGAATTGTACGTAAGACATACTTCATCAGATTTATTGGCCTGCAAAATGAGATCACTCTTTCCGAGGCGCCCGCGTTTCTCCTCACCTACGAGCCGAACGCTCTCCGACTTGCTTTGAAGCACCGCGCTAGGGAGGGAATGGAAGGACGGAGTACGCACGCGTACATTCTACCGTTGGCTTTTTTTTTTTTTATTCTTTTTTGTTGTTGTTTCCTCCCTCCGCAGTATTATGAGGTCAGCGAGAAGGGACGGCGTGCCCTATGACGTAACCCTCCGGTCCTCTCGGATTCCTCCAATCCAGACCTAAGGAAATAGCGGAGCAAAGGGAGAGAAGTAGCAGTTGGTTTCTTCATTTCCGAAAGGAGGGTGGCGGAAGGGAAGGGAGAAAAGACCCGGATGCCGCTGCCGCCGCCGGCGCGAGGGGCTGAGCGGGCCGGGGAAGGAGGGAGTCGTGCGGGCGGCAGCAGCGGATTCTCGCCTTATTGTCTGGGACGGACCAGGGAGACGGCCGCGAGTTTCGCGTCCTGACAGAGCGCGGGGCCCGTTTTCCGCAGGTCGTTGTCCGCAAGATGGAGGAGGCGGGGATGGCTGCGCCGCTACCGGATGCGGCGTAAGGTGCGAAGGGCCCCTCGGCTCTCAGGGATCGGCGCGTTTGCTTGGGGCGGCGAAGGGCTCTGAGGCGAGGCGATGCTGTCGGTCTATGGAATACTGCTGTCAGCTCTGCTGGGCTCCTGCCTCACGCTGCTCGCCCAGATCCTGTTCTTTTATCGGAGGAAGCCCGAAGTCGCGGCCGGGCCGTCCCGGGCTCGCACCTCCAACATCTTTGTTACGAGAGTAATGCCCGACTCGACCCTCAAGGAGTACTTCACCGGCTTCCTCGGGATCGGGCAGGAGGCGCTTTTCGCCGGAGCTTTTTTCAACCAGTCGCCCTCCAAAAGCGAGCAGAGCTTAAAGCAGGCGCTGCCCTCGAGCCAGGAATCGCCCCCCTCGGTGGAGTGTACGGAGGAGACCCTCTACTGGCTCAATGCCGTCTGCCTCTTTCTCTTCAGGGAGCTCAAGGACACCTCCTTGATCCGGCACTGGGTCACCAGGAAGATCAAGGTAGAATTTGAGGAGCTTCTGCAGACAAAAGTGACTGGCAAGGTGCTGGAGGGGCTCAGCTTGCGGGATGTCTCCTTTGGGAACGTCGTGCCCCTTTTTAAAAATATCAAGATATTGCGGCCAGTGACTTGTAATGAGGAAGGCTGCCCGGAGGAGCTGGACTTTGAGGTTGACGTGGAGTATGATGGTGGCTTCCACTTGGCCATTGATGCAGACCTTGTTTTTGGCAAGTCAGCATATCTGTTTGCCAAAATCTCTAGAATTGTGGGTCGGCTGAGGCTGGTCTTCACCCGTATACCCTTCACACACTGGTCCTTTGCTTTTGTTGATGAACCTGTGATCGACCTTGAAGTCAAGTCGCAATTCGAAGGAAGGCCCTTGCCACAACTCACTTCCATCATTGTCAATCAGTTCAAGAAAGTTATTAAGCGCAAGCATACATTACCTCACTATAAAATCAGGTAAGTTGTTTTGGATTAAGAAGATACAGTTACATTGCATGCTTGCGTAAGATGAGTGGGAATGGAAGAAGAATACTTCACTGGGTTACTCTGAAGAAGTTTGGTAAGGGCAGTTTAAGTGTGACACAAATGTCTTTTGGACATGGTAATAAATGGGGAAGATGAATAAACTTGGCTTTCAACGTATAATTCTACAACATTTAGGCTTATTAGAAGCCATGCTGGATTTCTGAAGAAAGCTCAAACCTCACATCATAGTGGGCTTTGATAATGAATTGGATGTTTTATTTTTATACCCACATGCATACTCATCACACTATTCCCGTTTTTGGGAAACAGCATTATGCTGAGCACATAAAAGGGGTAAGAAGCAATAAGCCAAAGGAATTAATACATGAATTAAGAAAAAGAAGAGGGAATATATCTAAGTTTTCACCAAACTAATAATTAGGCTTTTCTGTATATTTCTGTTCTTGCAAACCAGCCTCATTTCCTCCCCATCCATCCTTGCATTTTGTTCTTTAAATTTCTCAGTTGTTTTTCAGAATTTCATCAGTTCCATACAACCACAACTTTCATAGTCTTTCTCTTGACCCATTCACTCTGCCTTCATAGATTTGTTTTGAAATGTGGTCCTTATTCATTTCCTCCACATCAACAAAACACCTCAAAGTACTCCTTTCATATTGGTCACTCAGTTCTATATTCATTCCACATTTATTCATCATCCATTCAGCTGGGAATGACAGCATTGATTTCATTTAATTTATGACCTTTGGCAGAGTCAGGATAGGGCTTGTGTGACCATCCTGGTTCTCCTTGATATTGATCATGGTATTCTTCTGGACTGTTAGGGGGCTTGGGGGTGGGAGGCACAGTGTTGCAATGGTTTTCCTCTTTTCTACATGACTGGTTCCACTCAGTGTTAACAGGTGGGAAAAGGTACAGCCTTTGTGGGATGCCTCAGGGCTTGACACTCTCATCTCTCCTGTTTAATATCTACATGAAGCTGCTGGGTGAGGTCATCTGTTGACACAAGGTCAGTTGTCATCAGTATGATGATACTCAGTTATATATCTTGATCCCTGGTTGACCAAGTGATGACGTTGAGGTTTGTTCCAGTGCCTAGGGGGTATTGGAGTCTAGATGGGAAGGAACCCTGACAAGACCAAGTAGCCATGGGTTCATGGTTCTTCCAGTGCCAGAGATTCTCCATTTTTGGTTCTGAATAGTGTTGCACTTCCCCAGACAGAACTGGTACACAATTTGGGGAACTTCCTGGGCTTATAGCAGGAAGAGCAGGTGGCAGTGTGACTTGGAAGTTAATCTAGTGTGCCAATTCCACCTTTTCCTGGACCGAGTCTCTTCTCACAGTTATTTATGCCTTGGTCATCTTACCTGTGGATTGTTGCAATGCACTCTACATGGGCCTGCCCTGGAAGACCACTCAGAAGCTACAATTGGTCCAGAATGCAGCAGCACAAGCAGTTATGGGCATCCCTCAGTATACCTATGCAACACTGCTGGTACCTAATGAGCTTGCAGGTAAAATTCAAAGTGTTGGTTATCACCTGTAAAGTCTTAATGGCATAGGGCCTGGTTTTCCAAGGAACCACCTCTTTCCCATTCTCTTTGCCTGTCCTATAAGATCTGACAGAGTGGGTGGCTTCATTTCCCATCCATTAAGCATTGTCATCTGATGAGACCGGAGAAGTGTGCCTTCTCTGTTATGGTCTTTGGAATAGCATCCCTTGGAGGTTTGAACTGTTCCAGCCCTGTAATTCTTTAAACAACTTTTGAAAAACACTTTTTCTCCAAGCTTTGGGATAGGTTAGGAATCCTTGTGTTTTTTTCTTTTTCAGTTATGAGGTATGCTTATTCCCCTGTTACGTTTATTATCTTTTGCTTGGTTTTAGATTGTGTGCTTGTTTTTTTATTTCTACACCATCCACAGTCAGTGTTGAATTGGGCGGCCTTATAAATTAAATTATAAATAAACAAAACAAATCAGTATATAAAATAGGCAGCTCTCTCACATGATGGAATTATAGATTTGAAGTATTGCTTTTAGATCTTTATGCTAATATTAAGAAAGTAAAGGTTCAGATTGGAAGCAGTATTCAGTATAAAGTCAGATTCTCAATGTCACAGTAGCTACCTTAAACTTTTTTCTCTCAGGACTCCTTCCCACTTTTAAAAATTACGGAGAATCCCCAAAGAGCTTTTGTTTATATGGGTTATATTTATTGATATTAAAAATTAAAATGTATGCATTTGCTGCCACTCCCACTTCTCACAATTGTTTGATGGGATTTTAATATTGTATTATTTTTCAACATAAGCTGGCAAATAATTTTGATTTTGCGGATCCTTGAGAGGGTCTTGGGGGATCCCCAGGCACCCTAGGACCACACTTTAAGAAGCATTACTGTAAGCTATTAAAAGTTGAGCTTTTTCAGAAAGGCTTGTTTGTCCTTGTTTTATTACTTTGTATTGATAGATGTTGCAAGCTAACAGTCTCTGATGGGAGGTGGGGGGATAAATCCAATAAATACATACATCTCTGAAAAAGTGTAGAACTCATGGGTTACCTGATATGCATATGCATTTGACAAAAGCAAAGCTTACTTTTCACTCATCTATTGGTGGGAGTTCTTTTCTGGGTGCAGTTACAGATTGCAACACAACTTAAAAAGCGCTTGTAACTCCCTTGAGCAGGAAAAGAATTTAGAATATTACATTTTTGTTGCAGTTCACATTATTGGCCCCAGTGTGAAATTTTCTATTTTTGAACCAGAAGTAATATAACAAAGTTAGCATTCATCTTTTTAATATGTTTGAACATGTCTTGTGAATTCTTTTCATTGTATTAAAAGCATTCCTGCACTTTGTCTTGTAAATATTGATGTTTTAGCCCAGAACCAGATATGTTCAAACATGATTGGTTCTCAGTTACTTGAATAACATCTGTGGGGATTGCCCAATTTAAATAAATACAAGGAAACCCTCTTCTAATATAGTGTTTACATTTTGTAGGTTTTACAAGCATGTATTGTGTGTATATGTAAAAGAGGGAGAAAACCTGCTGCTTAATTAGGGACACTTTTGTAGCCAGTCAAGTTGGCTCTTCAACTAGGTATTACCAAATGTTGAAGTAAGCTTGCCCTGCATGTTCTAACTGGGAAGGTATGCTCCTAATTTTTTTCCCTCAGAAGAACAGACAGGCAGGCAGGCATAGAAGCAGGATGGTTTCATGGATGCCCTAATCCTATGGAACAGATCCCCCCCCCCCCGGATTAAGATGGCTCCCTCCCTAATATCTTTCAGAAAAGAGATGAAGACTATCCACTGGGCATTTGGTGTCTAGGGGATTGGTTATGAAGGCTGTTATACGTATTGTTGGTTGACTGCATTTTATTCTATGGTTTTATTTGAATACTTGGTTTTAAGTTTTTATGATTCATTATTTGAGCTGCCATATTCTGTTTTTGGAGTGGCATACAAATGTTGCTAAATAAATAAGTGGGGCTGGATAACATCTAGCTTTTCTGTGTAGAAGATTTTTACAATATTTTTGCAGTACAATATCAACTGAACACTAGAATACATTAAAGTGGGGAACTTGTCATATTCCAGGTGTTGAATTACAACTTTCAAGAGCTCTTGCTAGCATGAGTGATGATGAGAGGGATACTAGAAGCTGTAGTTTAGTAACATCTGGAGAACCACATGTTCTGCATCTCTGGATTTAAGAACAATATTTGTGATAAATGCATGAAGAGAGGGAATAGGTAGCCTCCTTACAAATTAATAAATAGAAGAAAATTGGGGGTTACTTCATTTTAACTAAGATATTTCCCTAAAGCTTATTTATTTAACAACTTATGTGCCACCTCCGTCATCAGAGTAATTCTCAGCAGCTTACATATTAGGGTTAAAATAACAGCATAGAAATAATAATAACAGCAACCCACCAGACATAAGTACAGTGCAGCAGGGAAGAAAACTCTATCTTAGTCAAATACTAAAGTATGCTATCAAAGAGCAAATCACCCCACAGTATCTCAAGAATAGTTTTTCACAGCTTTGCAAAAGTTCAGCAGAGTTGGGGCCATAAAGACTTCAGGGAAAATGTTATTCCATAGGGCATAACAGCTACAGTGATGGTACCTCTCTTAGGTCTCGCAAGATTGCAACGTTTTACAGCTGGGACCTAAAGCATGCCAACTATACCAAATCTTACTGTTTTGGAAGAAGCAATAGGGAAAAGGTGGTCCTGAAGTTAACTTCAGGTAGCTTCTGCAGCTTGCAGAGTAGAGATATTACATAGGTGAAATAGGAAATGCCTATAACTGCTCATGCAACTGTGTTCTAGACCAATTGTAACGTCTGAGTGGTCTTCAAGGTTACCCCGTTCAGCTCCAATGAAACTCTCGTGACACACAGGTTCAGC